CGCCCTGACCATACATCGACTACGGAATCATCTCCTGGCCACACACAGCGACCAGCACCATGACAGAATCAGCGACTGACCTTCTCATCCCCAAGTACACCGGAGCAGTGGACGATGGACCTGTACAGGACTGGTTCGACCTGTTCGAGCACCACGCTACCACTGCATCATGGTCGGAACGGGAGATGGTCGCCAACTTTACCGACTACGTCTCCGGTGAGGCCTTCAAATTCTACCTCACCCACATATTTCAAAACGACCAGTCGTGGGAAAAGATAAAACAAGAAATGGCCATTTGGTTTAAAAAATACGATGACAACTACGACGAAGACTTGCTTGTATCCCACCATCCACAGACAACTGCACTCAGTCGTCAATTTTACAGGCAGTCTTCAACCATTCGAACGCACAACATGATTCGACCTCTGACAAAAGATGAAGTGGCACACGAGTTCAGTGGCAGACGACAATACGTATTTTGGGAAAAACACAGCCATCGAGCGCGCCTTCCTTCTGCACGGAAGTCGGCATTTGCGAAGTTATCACTTCAGCATATGACCCGAGACGTTGCCCAACCACCTGATGCCGTTCACTCTTCGTCTCGCATACGTGGTCCACAACCTGGGTTTTCATCATGCGGTTCTTCAAGCGCTCCTAACGCTCACCATTTCCCTTATAAGGACGCCGTATTTATGGTAGATGACCTGTCGCATCGGGAAAACACCCTGTCGAGCCATGCTCCTTCCGCACGGGTTCATGCATCGCCATCCAGTGCCTACACACTCGACAGTGGAAGCAACACCGAAGGCTCCGACGCATCGAACGTCGCACGCTGCAATGCGCAAGAGCCTCTCGTAGTGAACAGGGTAGAAGAAGCTTCTGAAGAACTTTCTACCAACTCTGAAGCATTATCTTCATTGCCCGAAGTGCATGGCAACAGCCCAAACACTACCAGCTGCCGACAGGGCACCACATCAAGTTGTGAAGAAAACCAGCGCGATGTTCAAGAAGGGATCTCACTGCAATGCGTTCCACAGCAACATCAGCAATGCCAGCAAAAGCAAGTTCAAGAATCGCAGACACTCCAACGAATACACCGACAAGGACGACGACGCAAAGTAAGCCTCCTAAAACAAATTCAAGACGTCAGGCATCTTTGCATAAGGGATCGGCGTCAGAAACGCATTTGGCACAAAATATCAAGACTGCGCCTATTACAGCGCCGAAACCTCAGGAAACACCGAACAAGACAAGAAGTCACCAGTTCTACCACGCAAAGGTTCAGACACCATCCCATTCGTTCACGACAACGGAGCCAACGCCACAGAAAACTACAAAAGAGACTGAACGTTTTAATTTGTACAATGCACGAACATAGACATAATTCCTTGAACTTCAGTTCTTGTACACGCAGGCTTCAAGCACTAATTCTGTCTCAGCCGCGACACAGAATACAGCGCGTGCGACAGAGGATTCTGCGCCTACGACATTCGACCTTAAAGTGCTCCAAGGACTTCCAACCTTGTTCGTTCCCCGCAGGTGCTCAAGTGACGTCATGGTCAGTGCAGTTTTGCAAGATGCGGTTACCTTCTCCAGAACGCCACAGCCAACCTCGCCCACCAGAACTCCCCCATTTTCCGGACTGCTGGACTCTTTTCTGAAGTTTTGCGAGTTTACGAAACACCACGGGGCCATGAAACCAATTGTGCATTTTGACATTTGTGACTTCTCAACCTCTCCTTGTTTACTTTTTGTTGTGCGTAATTCATGCGTTCTTTCGGGGGGGGGGGGGGGGGGGGGGATCGTGTGACGTATGAGGCGATCATTGGTAGAAGCCGAGAAGGAAGAAGTGCAAAACGGAATAAACATGAGGTATGAGCCAGGCCACGTCACCCAGTCATCGTAGCATCACACATACATGATATTGACGTGCTGTTGTGGTGCCTCAGATATGCGCAATAATTGTTTTTAATTGTCAATCGCACAAGTATGAACGCTGAATCTTGAGCAATATTGGTGGGCGCTGCGGATGGGGTCGGCTGTTAGGAGTATCGTTTGGTCGATTTGGTGCCATTTAGGATACCGCTGAAGGCGCACAAACAGACAAATGTACAGACAGACAGATAGCCAGACCAAAATTTTACGTCGAAGGTCCCCAAGAAAGACTATCGTCCTTAAAAATTGGCCCGGTATCTGCATGTTACACTGCAAATGTCGTCGAAAGACGACAGTCTTGCATCCTCAGAGAGTGAACAAAACGTTTATTTGATATTCTGCGCAAGAAAAAAAATCGGTAAATGGTATTCTGGAGACGCTGCGTTAGAGTGCCTCGAGCGTGCAGCTGAGGCGAATGAGCGCATCAAGTCACGCCACACGTGACACATGAGCGCTATTTAGCAGTTATCTTGGAAAACGAAGCACGCGGCGTGCTCACCCATCTCTGAGGCGATAAGGTGTAGAAAGCAAGCGACGGGTAGGTGCCACCATCGTGTCTTTTTAGCAAAGCTTTGGAAACACTTGCCTTTTCGGTCAAGCGTTGCATGGTCAGCGCAGCGTGATAAACACTATGGTCCTTAGAATCACTTATGTATGCCTTTTCTAGTGAACAATACACATACATTATATTTACGTTTTGTTATGCTGCATCATATATGAGCAATAATTGCTTTCTGATTGACAATCGCACAAGTATGAACGCTGAGCCTTGAGCAATATTGGTGGGCGCTGCGGATGGGGTCGGCCGTTCGAGTATCGTTTGGCCACTTTGGTGCCGTTTAGGGCACCGTCAAGGGCGAACAAACTGAGAAATGCACAGACAGACAGACAGACAGACAGGCAGGCAGGCAGGCAGGCATACACACACACACACACACACACACACACACACACGCATGCATGCATACATGCATGCATGCATGCATACATACATACATACATACATACATACATACATACATACATACATACATACATACATACATACATACATACATACATACATACATACATACATACATACATACATACATACATACATACATACATACATACATACATACATACATACATACATACATACATACATACATACATACATACATACATACATACATACATACATACATACATACATACATACATACATACATACATACAAGCATACCAATACAATCGACTCGGGAGAAAAGGATGGTTTGCCTCTTTGAGCCATCTTAGGCGGTGCTCCTTTGTGAGCTTTAGTGGCTTGGTACTGTCAAGGACAGAGCGCGGAGCGACAAATGAGCGTGCCTATAAAGAAGTAACACTGTTACACTACATCGGGAACGAGAGACCGTTAGGTGGACGATTAAGACGGCGAATGCGATGGCGCTCGTGACAATACGTGGTGACGAGATTACTGTCACAGCGGGTTACATGGATGTAGTAATAAAACCTCCAGAAATGACCTATGCGCGTTTTGGACACCCGTTTCAACGTACGGCACGAGCTCGAGTTATACAAATGCAACGACCACTGCAAGAAACGTGGAACGCACAGGCGCACCGCGTCGAGAGAAAAAATTACAAACAATTTTTCTGCGCTTTACTCGCAGAATGCGTTGACATAATTTTTCCTCTTTTTTTTCACGCTGACGCAAGAATAATAGACGACATTACACAACATATATGGTATATACCACCACCTTGGTCTGCGAAGCAAACATTTATTTATTTATTTATTTATTTATTTATTTATTTATTTATTTATTTATTTATTTATTTATTTATTTATTTATTACATACTGCTGACCTGTTTACCAGGTCTTAAGCAGGAATGGCCATACAGAAATGTTTACTACAAAAACATAATTCACATCACACAGCATACTGACAGTGGGCACAATTCAACACTTTTGTATTAATTTACAAAAAACTAAAGAAAAACTTTACAACAATGGCCTAGCTTTGCTGACCAAAACGTACTAAAAAATGGAAGCATTGCGTAACTCTGGGCTGCATGACTGTACAAAAAAAACTTTTTATACCATTTTATATCATTTCTTTTTTTTTATATCACGACGTCATTTGACAAGGTCATGAAACTTCGAATGCGCCGATTCAACCGTTTTCATGCGCGTGCGTCGATCGTAGCAGCGATCGTGCAGTTGTTACAGATACTAAACGCCAATGTTAGCAAGCCCCCATACTGTGTCCCCGAGGCCCATTTACGAAGCAGTCTATCAGCGCCTTTTCTTCGGCAACACCAACACCACGAACGCCTCGCGTCGACTATAAACAGCTGGTTTTACCATAGTCCCTCCGTAATCTATCGAAGAACTGATTTTGTTTTTCACTAACAACGCGATTTATACGGTTCCGTTTCTTCATCCGCGTGCTTACACGGACAATTCCTTGTCTTTGCCCAAGATTAGTGTAAGCACGTTGAGGCATTCCAATACAGACAAGCGTACGCAAATGTGTAAGCTCGTATTACTTAACCTCCACGTAGCACAGCGACATACAGGAGCGCTCAACGCGAGCATACTCTCTTTTCTTTCTATCGCCCAAACCAGACAGGGTAACGACCAGAAAAGTACTCTGCGAACGCTCTTCGTCGAACTTTTTTTCGTTATTTCTTACGTCAACCAATGCGATCTGTCGCTGCTCAGATCATACCGCCGTATCTTTTCAAATCGTCGTATTGAACAAGGAAAAAAAATCAGTGAGCAAACCGGCAACGAAGGCGTGGCGTAGCACGAAAAATAAAAATTAATGCTGCAAGGAGAGTTGAGCTGACACCCAGTTTTCTTCGGGAGAGGAGATTTCTGTCACATCTCCTATCTGCTTTTTCTTTTGTTTGTGTTAGAGGTTAACTATACTTGGTTGTTTACAAAGTAGCTATCAACGACATTCGCCCCCTCTCCCAGTCTCTCCAGCTCGCCGATACCTGGTTTGCCTAAGAGGAGACGGGTTCCACCAATGGGTATAAAAGCCGACCACCTGGCCAGGGCTAGAGTACTTTCGCCTTCGAAATCGTCAGCTCAAACAGCTTCGTTTCTATATCGGAGGCCGTATACTTCGCCCTGCACAGCATCATGAACGCCTTCGTAAGTACATGGACTCCACAAACATTATTCTAGCATGACAGCAGTGCTCGGTTATGGAGCGATAAGTGACACGGGAAACGCGTAAACTTGCATGGTTTGCTATTCATTAGACCTGGGGAGCAAAAGAGGGAACTGTGAGGTGGTCGAGCGATAAAACGTCTGCCTCAGTGGTATTTATTCGTAGCGTAGAGGTGCAACCTTCCGTATCCAAGGTGCCAACGCGTGCGAATGTATACGACTGTGCTCTACAACCCAATCACAGCGATCAAATTGCGAAAACGCATTTCTGTTCTGGCGTACATACAGACGACGAAATCATGTTCAAAGCTGCACAAACGTGCATTCGTATCACCGATCAAAAAAAAAGCGGTACTTGTTAAGGCGAAAGACTTAGATGCTCCATCAAACGCTGTGAATTGCCTGTCGGCTTCAATACGTTCGACCAGATCACTTTTTCTATACAAGGCGAAGCCTCTGAAATTAGTCCCTTACCCCTACGCAGGCAGCGCCGCCATAGATGACGGGCGTTTCGCGCTCATCCGACAGGCAAGGGAAATCTAGGAGGTTCGATGCAACCTATAATGAATGGGTGATGACAACAATGCGTGACGTCCCCACGACGTCACTATTACGTCACAATATGACAAACATCTCATGACATCGCCGCATGGTGAAAAGTAGGCTAATCACGGAGTTGGTGCAAAACCAGATGAGGTGCCGGAAGCGTAAAATGGCTCCGCTCCTAGAGAGTCGACACGTCGACTGAAATGAAATAACAACATGGCGCTCACCTTCGTGTAGCCTGGGGAAAATGCATAAGACCCTCAATGAGCTTTTCCTAGGTGGCACTTTACTGTGACTTCCGGTCATTACTGTCTCTGTGGTCTTCCTTCTCTAGTAACGGACGGTATCGTACAGAGTAACTAAAGGCTATATAGGTGCAAGGTCAGTGCACTGTCCAGTTCTTGGTATTTGAACGCTGCCGAACCGAACGCTCGATCAGCACAATTTCTTCCAATTGTTTGTTGACATCACAGACCTTGGTCGTCGCTTGCCTTCTGGTGGCTGGAGCCCACTGCAGCGCCATAGTGACCTATGGCATTCCAGCCACTTATTCGGTGGAGCACCGTTCCGTGATTCACCAGCCCGTGGTGTACCAGACTGCGGCCAGGACCCCCGCGGTGGCGCACCACAAGGAGTTGGTGCACGTGCCGCACCACGAGTACGGTTACACCGTCGAGCAGAGCAAGCTCGTCCAGCCAAAGTCCACCGTCGTCCACCACGACCCACTTACCGGGTGAGCAGGCTAAGCAATAACTCCCCCTTAGCTATGGTTGAGTCTTGTGTCCCACATGTTGTCAACAGTGCATTGGGCATAGAAACGAAAAACATTTGGGAAAATAAGATGCGTAAAAGTCCGAGTTGCTCTGAGTCGAGGTACGGCGTCAAAGTAGGTGCGGGTTTGGTATACTCACAAAAACTGTCAACGCTAAACAAGACTCGTTAGCGTCTAGAAAACAATTGGCTAGAGGAACAGCAAACCAGAATTGAAACTCCGGTAAGCTGCGTCAAAATCCCGAGCTCCAGTTCTCATATAACCCTTGAGCAACATTCTTCTTAAATTTGCGAAATTGGGAAATCATCATCCAGTCGACCGCGCCATAATGATTGGGAAAAAAATTAAGGAACGTCCAAGTTTAACCCAGTCATAAACACCGGCACCGTACATTTCAGCTACGCTGGTTCTGTATAGAGTGCTGGCCGATATTTTTTATGCTTTTCCGTATATAAGCTGAAATCTAATGCCCCGTTCTTCCCGTTCCTCGAACAGCCTGCCCTACCAGCAGACCGACTACCACCACGCCCCAGTGGTCACCAGTTCCCGAAGCTCCGTGCACCACAGCCGACCGGGCTACGTTGCCGAGCGTACCAGGACGTACGTCTTCTGAACGTGCCATGGCGTGCTGCCGCAAGAACTTGCTGAACAACCCGAACCCCCCGTTTCCGGTCGCCTACCAGTAGAGAATAAAAAGTTGTTGTTTGTTCCAAGAAAAACATTTCATGTTCCAGCAGGACTTTTCCCAAGTACACATGCATGCATTAACTCAATATACTCTATATACTAGTAGTGTCCGCTGAAGGTACAGCACGTTGCTGGGCCTTTTGACCATTACTATAAATGAAATAGACGCCGAAGCACTCCTAGTAGAAGAGACCGAAGAAGCCGAGCTGCGAGCATGAAATAGAATGTAATGAAAAGACTTTATTTCAGTCCTGCAGGACGCGCTTAGCGCGTAGCGGGCGTCTCCCACGTAGGGACTGACAGGGAGTACCTGGCGGCCGCTTCGTGGGCCTGCTGGACGGCCCATTGCTGGTCGGCGAGAAGTGAGCTCCTGAGGGACCTCTCCCTCTTGCTTGACGTAGAGTCGGGAGGAGTCGTTCTACACTCCCAGAGCATGTGTGCGAGTGTCGCTGTGTGTCCACATGATGGGCATGTGTCGCTGCGGTATGCATCGGGATGATAAACGTGAAGCGTGGCAAGGTTTGGGTACGTATGTGTCTGTAATAGGCGTAGGGTTACTGCCTGCGGTCGGTTAAGTTTCGGATGTGGGGTGGAAAAATGCGGCGTTCCAGGTAAAAGTGTTTTGTAATTTCATTGTACGTAATTGGTGCATCTCGATTGGTATCTAACCCAGCAAGATGAGGTTGCACTGCGGCAGTGCGGTCGGTAAGTGCGCGCGCCGCATCATGGGCGATCTCGTTGAGGTTGTATAGGGCACCCGGCACCTGGCCGAGATGGGCGGGGAACCAGATGACAGTGTGGTGCTTCAGGGCACTCGGGTCCGCATTGCGCAGGATACGTAACGCCTGGTCGGAGATGACTCCGCGTTCGAAGGCTTTGGTGGCCGGCCTGGAGTCGCTGTAGATGAATTCCCGTTTGCTGTCGAGCATAGATATAGCTATAGCTACTTGCTCCGCTACCTCGGGGTTTCGGGCGAGGATTGTGGCTGAGTTAGGAGTCTGCTGCGCGGATGATACCGCTACCGCGGCGAAGGCTTGGTTATTGCGATGGGCAGCGGCGTCCACGAACGTTGTCCGCTTCCATGTCTATGCGCTTGAGAATGGCGGTCGCCCGCGCATAGCGCCTGCCTCTGTTGTATTCGGGGTGTACATTTCGCGGTATGGGAGCAATCGTGATAAGGTCGCGGATTTCACGGGGAATGAGAGTCAACTCTGAGGGGTCCCTGGCCCTCGAGGAGAAGAAGCCGAGCTCGCGCAGAATATGGCGGCCCGCCTTGATGGTAGTGAGTCGGGTCAATTGGACGCGTTCCTGAGCTTCGGCGATCTCTTCTAGCGTGTTATGTACGCCAAGCTCGAGGAGTTTGTACGTTGGAGTGGTAATAGGGAGGCTAAGGGCTCGTTTGACCACCTTGCGAATAAGCACATTGAGTTGATCGCGCTCAGCACGTAGCCACTTGTGTATAGCGGCAACGTAGGTAAAATGGCACAAACCAAACGCGTGTACGAGACGCAGCAGGTTGTCTTCTTTGAGGCCATGGTGCCTGTTGGCTACTCTACGTACTGAGACCGGTGTGGTCGAGGTAAGACTTGGTGGTGTCGATAGCCTCTTGCAGGGCGGACTCAATGAAGCCATCCGACTTTGTGGAGCACCATATGGTTACATCATTCGCATAGATAGTGTGATTTAGCCCGTCTATTTTTGAAAGTCGTTCGGAAAGCCCGATCATCACGAGGTTGAAGAGCGTGGGTGAGAGGACGGATCCCTGAGGAGTGCCCCGCTGTCCGAGCTCCACTTCTTCCGACACGAGGTCTCCTATGCGGAGGACGGCTCTGCGTCGAGTGAGAAAAGAGCGGATAAAGTAGTAAAATCGATGACCTAGGCCGACGGCTGCGATCGCTTTCAAGATTGAAGAGTGCGTTATTGTATCGAAGGCCTTTTCTAAATCGAGGCCGAGTATTGCACGAGTCTCCCGAGTGTTTCCGCCATCTAGAATTTGATGCTTTAGGAATAACATGGCGTCTTGAGTGGATAACGGAAGCCAATCATGTGGTGTGGGATGCAGTCGTTATCTTCGAGGTATCGACCAACCCTGTTGAGGACGACGTGCTCAGCCACTTTGCCCACGCACGACGTAAGAGATATGGGGCGTAGGTTATCTAGACTCGGCGCCTTTCCTGGTTTGGGTATGAGAACCGTGTGAGCTAGTTTCCAAGCATCGGGTATCTCACCCTTTTTCCATATCTCGTTGATAGTGCCAGTGAGGTAAGTGACAGAGGAATCGTCCAGGTTGCGTAGGAGCTTGTTGGTGATGCCATCGGGACCAGGGGTTGAGCGGCCATTGAGCTCATGGAGAGCTCGGCGCACATCTTCAATAGAGAAGTCGGCGTCAGTCGAAGTCGTGTCAGTCGAAGTCGGCGTGAGTTGAAATCGAAGTCAGTGTTCACGCTGCCAGAGTAGCAGGGTGAGGGGTCACAGGGCCCGTGGGAAGCGGAAGATATTTTTCCACGAGGTTCTTGACATCTTCCGGTGACACTGTTCGTTTAGCCTGATGAAGTATCTTCACGATCAAATGACGCTGATTTGTGTGGGTGTTGGTTTCATTGAGGAGGTGTTTGAGTAAGTTCCACGTTTTGCCATTTTGAACCTGACCATCAATCGAATTACAAATTTCGTCCCATTGCTGTTTTGAAAGGATGCGGCAGTGATCCATCATGGTCTTGTTCAGCTGAGCTATGCGTTTGCGTTACCTCCGATTAAGGCGCTGGCCCTTTCACCGGGCCAATAGAGACTGTTTGGCCTCTAGTAGGTGGGCGAGACGACTGTTCATCTTTTCGGTTGGAAGGTCTGTGCTGATAGTTTTGGTTGCCTTGTTTACATCGGCTTTGAGCTGGGCCGTCCACGTCTCGAGGCTCGGTGGGGTATTCGGAGGGGGTCGTTCTGCGTGGGTCTTACGAAGGAGGTCCCAGTCGACCCACGTGTACGACTTGGTCTTCCTGCTTACTGTGGGGAGGTGTACAGCCAATATGAAGTGGTCGCTACCGAGATCTACCGCGAGGTTGGACCAGCGGGCGTCAGAGATATTCTTGACGAAGCATAGATCTGGCGTAGTATCTCTTTGCGTAGACGTACCAGTGCGAGTGGGGAAGGCCTTGTCCGTAATGAGAATAAGGCCCATGTCATTCGCATTTTTCCAAAGCTCGTTACCTTTGGGTGTGTCGTACGTGTAGCCCCAGGCGCTATGCGCAGCATTAAAATCACCTCCAATCACTAGCGGGTTAGACCCCGCGAGACAGACAGCTTTCTGGAACAAGCGTGTGAATCTTTGTCTATGGTGGCTGGGACTACTGTATACATTGAGCATGTATACGCTTTGTTGTGATATGTTGCCAGGGAGAATTTCGACCATAACGTGCTCAATTTCGGGCACATTGAGACTGTGAGCTGTGCAGGTAATCTTGTTAGCGACCAGGGTGGCGATACCGCGTCCTCCCGAGGGGCCGGGCAACCACTGGTATCCGGAAAACGTGGTGGTTGGTACTACAGTCTCTTGTAATAGCATGATGTGAGGTTTGGCTTCGTGGCTACGGAGGTATTGCTGCAGGAAAGCTTTCTTGTGGGTGAAGCTCCTGCAGTTCCATTACCAGATTCGCAACCCGTCAATTGGCCTGGCCATCTTGAAGCATTTAGGAGTCGGCCTGAGCACCCGGCGGGTGCATAAGGGCCGCGTGATGCGGTGGATTGGGCACGGCTGTACGTTGCGACAACGGCTTATCCGCGGCAACGGCAGGGGCGACGACGTGATCAAGATATTGCTCCACTTGGCCCAAACGATTACCGTGTACCGCGAGAGTAGACTGCACGAGAGCCATGCTTTCGCCAAGAAAGCGAAGGCTTTCCTTAATCGCTGATAGCGTGCTCTTAATGTCGTCTAACTCTTCCTTTAAAGCTGGCTGGTCATGGGCGACCGCGCCTTTCTTGGGTGCACTCTCGCCGTCGTCGTTACCGGCGCCTACGGGTTGCGAGCATTTTTGCTCCGTTTGTGTTTCAAATATCCTATCTTTGGGAGCCTCCTCATTAGGTCATTGTCACAGGGGTATATGTTCTGCTGTAGAAAGATTCTTAATCGAATCAGGGTAGTTTTTATCTCTAATACTTAATTAGCAGTAGTACTTTATAACTATTCTATAGTTATTAGTCAAACGATTCTTACGTGATTCGTTTGTTTGTTTGTCGCCTAAAAGATCTTGGCTCATACTCACAAGCGCGATTGGCCACACTGTACTTTATATTGGAAATTTAAATTACAATGTTTGTTAAAAGAGAGAGAGAGAGAAATCACATAAGAGCGAGATGAATATTAACGTGCATAAAAAGAAAAACAAGAACATGAAAATGGCAAAAGGAGTCGACAAACCAGATTTTAAAAATAGCAAAAAAGAAGGCGGACAAATAATTTGATTAATCTGGCGGTACCACTATCAACGTATCTTTCCGGTTGACTGAATTAATTTATGTAGCGCGGGCAGAATAGCGCTGCGGAACGCACCCAACTGACTGGCGCCAAATGATCAAAGGGTGGGTGTAACAAATGCTAATCCCAGCACATCAATCGGCCCCTCGAGAATTATTCGGTGGAGTGAGCTAGGCGAAACGGTGACAAGAGAAAAGGAAGTGATCTATTGTTTCAGATTCATTGCAAATACCTTGCTGAGCCTTTGATCAGCTATCGAATTTACTAGCCAATCTAACATTTATTGTTTAGCTATTATACTGTGATGATTTAACCTTTAGAGGAATTTCATATAACAATTACATCTCAGATATTCAACAAATTCTATTGTTTCTCTTCTTTCCTTTTTTTCTCCCATTGTGCCAAATTCATCCCACCAAGTCAAAACAAAGTAACCGTATTCACCTAGCCTGGATAACCTAAAGGTATTGACTTGCATTAACCACCGGCTTCTTGGCCAATCCCCCTTAGTGGGTGAGAGCCAC